ATGGGTTTGGTAGGTTTGACCGATCTCACAACCACCATAAAAAATTTGGAAATAAATATAAATTATGCGTCTTTCATTCTAGAATGAACACAAATTATAACATGAAAGCATAATTGTTCAGACTAAACAGCATAAATCTCATAACATTATATATTTATTATTTCTATTATATTGACCTTTCAGTCATACCTGTCTAACAATACTGAAGTTTCAATGACACATCTCATGGTACCGTATCAAATAAAACTGACCTTTGGTGTGTACAAAGTAACTTGTTTTGGCTGTGTTTTAGTAGTGTAGTATTTTGTAAAATACAGTCACATTTCAATTATTATACATTATATATGTATATGGATTATTGCTATTTTGAAATCATTTCTTAAACTTATTTTTCTTAAAACATAAAACAGTAAATAAAGAAGTAAAGCAAACAATTATCTCTTCTAGTAATGATCTTTGTACTCGGTTGCTGCTTGACGTAGGTTGCTAAGCCTTTAAAAATTTTGCACGTGGAGGATATGAAGCAAAATATTTTTTTTAGGTTTTATATATATACATACATTTGAATAACTAAAAAAATCACAAATTACAACATCAACACTATAGAAGTCCACTATAATTTATCAAGCTTAGTACCTAAGATGCATTTTAGTATAAAAAAATATGAAATATTGTTGAAATATTGGTTCAAAAGAAATAAATGATGTCCTAAGAATTTAAAATGGCTGAGAAAGCCACTAAGGGGACATTCTAAGTTTCCGATTGGTTATTCATGTCATATATAGAAGTAACTGTATATAACGGAGCATTTAAAAAAATGGGCAGGGTGCCACTGTGTTTGATTTATTACATGAGCAATATCTTAGCAAATAGAAATGATAAGACCTTCTTATTTTATACTCTAGCTTGTCAATATCAGTAATTTGAGTTTCTAATTCATACAAAACTATAGACTTAGTATTTTGACTTCACAAACACCTAATTTGAAGAAGTGCTGCATTCAACATACCAAGTGACACACAAAAATCAATGTTTATTTGTGTTTTTAAGAAGGGTGAAAGGAGATAGGTAACTATCAGAAATATGTTGTCATTATAGGTAAATTATAACTTCCAATACAATACCTTACCTCCTCTCACATAATAGCTGGTGGAGGGACCCTTGCAAAATTTACCTAGATGAGCACCCTTTGAAAAGCATCCAAAAACAGCCCATGGAGTGCGACATTTTTCTGTAGAGGAACATATCCATGGGAGACTACATCACATCTGAACCAAGTATACTTGTCACCCATTGTGAAAATATATGTCACTAATTCAGACAGAAAGGACATACATCTTATAGTTCATTGGATGTATCAAATGGTGTAGAGTGGCTAGGAGCATCAGACCATAATCGGTGGGTCAACTCCAGTCCAAAACTGGGCAGCACTGGGTACATATTGTCTAGTCCCTATCGTTTTCATCTCAAGACAAGGAAGCAGAAGGGAAAAATGGCTTCTGTCCAGCCATCCCAGTCAGGGCACATGTGTACAAACCCAGCACACAACCAAAACTAAACCACCCTGGAAATCAACATCTGAGCAATTTTAGGAAGGGAGAATTCATGAATGCATGAACAGGACAGAGAAGATGATCCAAATTGGAGCAGGAACATAAATGGGAAATGGAAGGTAGGGAAATAAGAGTGGATGTGACATCACCTTCATGAGCCACTGAAGACTTGGGAAAAAAACTATGATCTGGAAACAGGAGAACATAGGTATGGTGATAAATGAAATGTGATATGTCAAGGGCAAAAACATTTGACCTACAATGACTACAGGCTGAAAGGAACAAAAAATAGGTCTTAAATGACAAATGGTATAGGGAACAGGTGGTCACTGGTTCAAAAGGAGGTTGGGTAAGAGCATGGACAACAACGGTGAGTCCCAATCAGGAAGAGGCATAGGAGGAGGAGGACGAAAAGAACAAAACAAAAGGGAGAGGAAAACATTCAACAGGAATGGGAGAAATGGAAGGTATTGAACAAGGCTGCTCTATAGCCAGCAATGATAGACATGGCAAAATCATTGTCGAACAGTCAGATAAAAAATTAAGAAACATGAGGAAGAGTAGGATGGAAAGGGAGGTAACCATGGCACACAAACCACTGGTGAAAAACATGCCATTTTCTTGAATACACCAATAAGGAGGAAGTACATATGAAATGGGAAAGAATGGAAGCAATCCATGTAGAGAGTTCGGACTGTCTTGTAAGGGACAGGACAAATGCCATACGTAAAGCCTGAGTGAGGTAACATTGGGATGATACACTGGTGACTGAGACTGTTGAAGTAGGGAGGAGGATGGCAGAAGTGGTAACAGAGGTGCTGACTGAAGGAAGACAAGAACCAGAAACCAAGGTTCAGCAAGCCAAAAAGGTGCAATGAAAAGGACCTGACATGGGGTGGACTAGATAATGGATAAAATTCAGGGAAGGAGATGGATAGACAGATAGGCATAAAGGTAAAGGTGGGACCAATCCTGACTGAAAGCATCCACCGCCAAAGTCAAAAGATGTGGGATCGGGGACCAAAAATGAGGTAGCTTGGCAATGAGATGGGTGGCAAATGCATTCAGAAGAGGAGTGCCCCACTGGTTACACAACACCAAAACACTTGACAATCAAGGGACCACTCCATGAGGAGAACCTTGTCGGAATGGCATAAGAACATGACATACCAGTAGGTGCGTGTGTTATGTGAATGGGCCCAAAAGAGGAGTTCTAACATCCGAAACAAGATGAATATGAACAGGTGCCCCCATGTTGATTAATATACAAAACAGTGGTCGAATTGTTGGAATGGATCATGATCACTTTTGCCTTGTATTAAAAACAGAAAATGATCCAAAGCCTGACATATGGCAAGAAGCTCCAGAATATTGATGTGCATAGCTGACTCAACCGAAGACCAATGACCTACAATTTCTTTTGTATCCAGAAATGTTCCCCAACATTTCAGAGAAGCATCCGTAAAAAGATTTTACTCCAGATAGGGAAGTGGAAGAGAAACACCCATTTTGCTGTTGTCTCTGTTAAGCCACCAGGCTAAAAAGATGTGCAGTGAGGGAGAGAGAATATAACAAAGTCCAGGGAATCCCGATCAAGATTCCACTGATCATGCAACACCCACTGAAGGATGCACATATTACAAAACCTAAGGGAATGAGGGCTTCCATGGAAGCCCAAGTCCCCAAAAGAGAAAGAACCTTGTGTGCAGTAGGAGAAGGAGAGGATTGAGCCTTGAGAATTAATAGCTC